ATTGAAGACTAGGGGAGAGTCTGATGGCAGTAGGCAAGCTATTCCATAGGAGAGGAGCCGCCATAATTTAATATGAATAAAATTATGGTTGAACAGACATATAGTGCAAATTCCAAGTTGTGCTGGTTTTGTTTTGGTCAGAACTTGTACAATTGCCTGTGTCCTTAAGGGGCTAATCAGTTGGCTTAAAAAGACTACTCATGGCTGGATTTAGGCCATTCTAAGTAAATTCAAGGAAATAAAATAATAGAAATGAAAAGAAAAAAAAATGCTTTAAATTCCTGTAATGACTTAAAATCTCCAAACGTTGCATCTTTTACAGTAAGTTCTTACCAAGCCAGTAAGTGACCCAGCCAATTATAAAGAATTCATATTTCATCACCGAACTTATCCCCTTTGCACTGTTTTATGAGCACTGCTTTCTGGAACCTTACTATAGAAAGCAGACAGTTGAACTTAAATGCCAAGAAAAGTACGTCTTGACATATGTACAGAAGTATTTCTGGATAAGGAAATGGAACACTGAATGTTAGATATGAGGAGCTGAAAGGGTGGTTTTTTAGAGCAAAACTATTAAAGGATCATTATAGGGTCAGGAACACAAACATGTATTCCTGACCCTATAGTGTTAAAACCACCATCTATCCCCCTGGGCCCCTCATGCCTCCATAAATATAGCAAAATCTTACTGTATTCAAGCCTGAAGTTGTAACTCTGCATGCTGTTTGACTCAGAAAAACAAGCAGTCTGCTGACATCATCAGAAGTGGTAGCCTGATCCAATCACAATGCTTCCCCATAGGATTGGCTGAGACTGACAAAGAGGCAGATCAGGGGCAGAGCCAGCACAATTCAAACACAGCTCTGGCCAATCAGCATCTCCTCATAGAGATGAATTGAATCAATGAATCTCTATGAGGAAAGTTCAGTGTCTGGATGCAGAGGGAGGAGACACTGAATGTTTGGATGCATTTTAGGCAGCCATCTACCCAGGAAGTATCTCTAACAGCCATCTGAGGAGTGGTCAGTGAAGTTATCACTAGGCTGTAATGTAAACACTGCATTTTCTCTGAAAAGACAGTGTTTACAGCAAAAAGCCTGAAGGTAATGATTCTACTCACCAGAACAAATTCAATAAGCTGTAGTTGTTCTGGTGACTATAGTGTCCCTTTAAGTAAAAAACCAAAACAGCAACGACATTTATTAACAAAAAGCACTCATCACAGCTAGCTCTAACCAAATAAATGCAAGTCCTTTTTTTTTTTTTTAAATCACACCTTTTACAATGTTGAGGATTTATTCACTAAATAGTGAATTGTCATGAACTGGAAAAACTTTGTTAAAAGAGCCAATCTGTAAAACAGTTGTGTAGTTAATAAACTCTGCTTCCATTCATCATCATTTCATATAAGTTTTATCGGAGTGTTCAATATAACAACTTGGATTACGAGAGCACCTGTGAAGTGCACTTAGCTTTCACGTTACCATTTGCAACAGAAGGAGATGAGCTGACTTCCAGGAGTTACCTGTGAAACACAAACTGACTTGCCAAGCTAGAACCAAAACAGTATATATATATATATATATATATATATATAAAGAGAGATAGAGAGAGAAGATATTGGATTAGCTGTATTAGTCAGGTAGGCACCATGCCAAAATACCAGAGTATTGCAGTATGCGCTCAAACTCCCATCACCTCCTGGGCGGTAGCAACGACCATAGTACCAATCAGCCAAAATACATACAGTAAAAAACAAAGAAAAAAAGTTAACTGCACTCTTCCCAAATCCCTATGCATATTTAAAAAAATGGAGGTTATTTAGTTTCTCCAATGGCCATGAGCGAGTTTAGCCCACCTGCCACGTCAAGGCAAACCTCTCAGGTGGGTCCTACACTAACCTTTCACCTTGCTTCCATGAGCTTCAGGCAAAAATATCTCTAATGAGACAGAAAAGGGTATTTTTTTTATATACACCCCTACATGCTTTTTAACCCCTGATAAGGAAAACATAGGATGTATATATATATATATATATATATATATATATATATATATACACATAGACAAATCAAATGCTCTCAGACTGCACAGCCATTGCCATATCCAAAGTTTATAACAATAAGTAGCATTTAAATATGACTCTTCTTCTGTTCTGTACCACATCGAGTTATAATGCATGGCCAGCAATCCTGTGTGTGTTTCGTACACCTTATTAGTCTACAAAAACTTCTGTAATAATGCTGCATAATACTTTGGTGCTTGCTTATAAATCTCTACATAACGCTTCTCCTACTTACCTATCCTCCCTAATACACAAGAATGGTGTCCTATCCAGGTATACCTAAGGCCTGTGTCGATCCTCTGTTTGTACTCTCACCTCTGATGCTCACCTCCAAGACTTCTCTAGGGCTGCACTGTCCCTGAGGACCTCCCTTCCCTCCTCTGTTAGACTCTCACCCAGTCTCCACTCCTTCAAAAAAATCATTGAAAACCCACTTCTTTTCGGAAAGTGTAACAATTAAACTTCCAATTGCTTTCCCTCACCACACCTTGATTCCTCTCTTGCAACGGTCATAAAAAAAGTAAATAAATAAATAAATAAACACTACACCCTCAGTGAATACTATTCTAGTAACATACTTTTCTACTCTACACTTATTTGTGTCATTATATCCCACTCCCTCTAGGGGCCCTCAACCCCCTCTGTTCCAGTGTGTCGGATTACAAATACGTGTCTGTTAGTCCACCCATTGTACAGCGCTGCGGAATTTGTTGGCTCTTTATAAACAATAATAATATAATATAATAATAATGCTCCATTTTATTGCAGACTGTACATAACTAATATTTTTATTTAAGTATACACCAGAACTCATCTAGTAATTTTGGGGAATATTGTGAACATGGTTTAATATCTCAGGTACAAAGTGCAGCAGTAATATCGGTCTCCTCATGTCTATATCTGGAGAATGGTGTGTACATTTGATCTCAGAAGCCTCTGCTCCTGCAGATTCTCTGACATGAGACAGATGGCAGTGCAAGCAAACTAGAGCAGAGGCCCTTTTACTCTCCCTCTAGGTCTAACTCCTATTATACACTTGTAAATTAACCTGTCAATTTATCAATCAACACCATCTTGATTCTCCCCTGTTCCAATGCTGGCTTTGCAGTGAATTTGCCTGGTAAATAACTGGCAGTCCACTGTTTGTTAGTATTGTGAATGAGTTTATTATCACTTTGATGACGGCTATGAATCACAGATGCTGCTTGGAGGCAGATAAGGAAAGTACATGCACACATTAACAGGGTTGGGACTATTTTTGAGATAAAAGATGGAGTTGCTGTGATAGCAAATCATTTAAATTGGGGGGGAAAATGATTATGAATCGTGTTGATTTTCTATTCCCCCTTATGACTACTCATAGCTTTAAAAGATGGTAACTATTGTTAAAAGTGTATTTTACCTGTTTTGTAATTAATTTCATTTTTTTTTTTCTAACGCTGGGCAGATATGTTAGATTCTTAAACCAAAAATGGGAGAAACACTTGGCGTCTCTTTCTCCTATTCAATTAGATGAGGAAAGGATACATAACCGTGACCCCTATTGATCGTCCTTAACCCCTTCACTACCAAGCAGTTTAAGAAAAAAGAAATGTAAAACCACACACCCAGAATCTGAGTATTTTTGATGTCCTGGAAGGTAATATGTAAATGTATTTCTTGTTTCAGAATGCTTGGGTAGCACATTTTTTAATGGAAACAAAACAATTACATTTTGACTGGGCAAAAAAACTAAAAATCTTAAAATAATTCACCAAAGTTACTGATAAGGAGACAGTGATGTAAATAAATATACAGTGGAACTTTGGAATTGGAACTTAATCCTTTCCAAAATGCTGTTCGAGTTCGAATTTGTTCGAGAACCGAATCAACATTTCTCATAAGAATTAATGTAAAGGTAACTGTTCTTCTGGCACTTAAAATGTGTCTAAAGCAAGACATAACTTTATAATTGAACATGTTTGTGGCATGATTTGTTCATGTACAGAGAATTGTTCATGTACCGAGACTTTTCTTTCTCAAATTTTTAATTCAACTACCGAATTGTTCAGGTAAGGAACCGTTCGAATTCCAAGGTTCCACTATATATATTATATAATTATAATATATATAGTCACATTACCATGACATTGCCCATACCAGTGTCACCCTCACTGCTGCTCTTACCGCTTTGGGGACATACACACTAATACATGCACACTCATTTACGAACATACACACTCACTAACACAACTGCCAAAAAGACAAACACACAGATACTCGGTGCCACACACGGACATACATTCTTAGACACACACTGATACACATACATTTACATACATACACTTACACAGACACAAGAATACACTGTGAGACACATACATACATACACATACATGTGACAGACACACAAACTGCTCCTACACATATGTTTACCATGGTGGTGTAGTGATGATAGTGTGCTGTGATAGTTGCTGCAGCCATCAGAGAGTCTCTCAGTGCCCTGATTTCTCTGCTCTGTCACAATGATTTCTGTGTGCAGAGAGATTGTCTGATGACTGCTGCCAATCTAAGCACATGTACTGCTCTCCCCTCCGCCAGTTCCCCATCAGCCACCATCTGAATGCTTTTTTTTGGGGGGGGGGGGACTGTTCCTGTGCCGAGCTGCTGCGGCAGGTTCATACAGCATGTATTCACTGAGAGCAGTAGAAGAAGTGATGTCATATCCTCTCAGTGCTCTCAGTGAATACAGGGGAGAGGAGCACACCCAGATTGCAGCAGCACTGCGCACTGGAACTGATGGGCACTGTATACAGAGAGTTAGCCTTGTGAATGCACGCTGCATCATGGGTCCCGGGGCTGAAGCACTGCAAGCAGTCAGAAAGTTTTTGGTGGACAATTTGACAACAAAATTTGTTTGTAATAAACAAAAACATTATTGCAATCGCCCATATCTTGGGTATTGGTGCATGCAAAGTATGAGTTCCTATTCTGATAATCGTATATACACGAGTCCCGTTGTGAAAGGATTAAAGCACCGCTCCACACCCATAAAGCACTTCAGCTTGCCGAAATCTGCACTTTTATAAATCAAGTAACACCTTCATGTTTGTTTGATTCTTCCTGCCATTAGGTGTATTGAGCTGACAGAAGAGGCAGGCATGCTCTGCAAGAAGGTACCTGCCTTCTCCCACAAGTTCCAGTGAGCCATTGAGCGCGTGTCTACATGGGTCTATTTTACTTGGTCCTTCGCGGCTCCTACATAATTTAGTGCACCTAAATGCACTTAAGATTGACACCCACCTGGAAAAAATAAAAACACTTAAAAATATATATATATATATAACTTAATATGTGTACTAGATATATAGAGAGTAAATCAAAATCCACAGACAACAAATCAAGTTCAATGTAGATCACCTGCTTTATTTAATTTATATCGTTATTAGTAGTAGCATGTTCATGAGCAAATTAAAATGTGTTCTGTTTAAGAGCATACATGATTTAAGTAGTTAAGTGAAGCAAGCACAATGTATATGTGGTTAAGAGAAAACCGGTGTCTACATTGTACTGGTGTCTAGACTGTGAGAAGTTATAAAGTAATAAGTAACTGTATACATAAATGTTGTGCTTGTTTATGTTTCCAATTTTTAATAAACACAATTATTTCCAAGGTAATTAACATTTTGTCTTTCTTTCTTATTTTCTTTCTCTTTTTATTAAGGTTTGCACAATTTTGATAGATACCTCTTTGCACAGCTTTAGCTTATGAAGCACAATACTGATTTTAATACTTTTTTAATTCTTTACTCTTTCCTCCCAAATTAATTAAATATAATATACAGGGAAATAAATCTCAGAAATCTACGGAACAGGTAATAATCAATAACTAAATATATATAAATATTATTAAATTCTGGTCTCAATCTTACTTTCATCAAGTATCAATTCAAAATGTATAATATCTGTTGCTAGCATATCCTCCCCACCTCCCCCCCCCAAAAAAATAAAAATAAAATAAAAAATAGAAAAGACACCTGTGTAAAAGAAAGAAAAGGAAACAGCTGTTGGAATGAATATGAGAGTAAAAATATAGCAAAACAGACTTTACACACAATGAATGAGGATATGTCATATGATAATAAAAAGATTATTACATCTACTACATAATTTAAAAATATATATATAATGGAAGGATATAATGTGCCTTTAATTAGTTAAAATCATTCCACACACCATAACACTATATTAAGTTAAATATTTCCATTTCCTCTGATTCCTCTCTCTATTCAACTTGTAGGTCTTAAACACAAGCAAAGCTGTGTGAAAATGTATTATTAATAGAAATAAGATTCCTAAATATAGAAAATTAAATTATTTCTCCAAATGCAATTTCTTGAGTGTATGGACTGGCCGTTTTCTCATTTCATAATTAAGATAATGTTTAAATTTGAAATGAATTCTGTATGTATGTTCAATAGACTACAGCATGACAATAACCCAGGAATCACATCTCATTTTATCACAAATTGTGTAATAGGCGATAAGGTAAAAATCAGAGCCACAAAAAAAAGAAAAAACCTGCCAGCAAAAATGAGAGAGAACGACCTCAATTGCCCTAATTCATTCAGGGTTTTTCTCTCTTTTTTTGTCTCTTTATTTTTCACTCTGTTCACATTATTAGCTGGCTCATGAGTGCATTATTAGAAATGACAAAGCCAAGGAGATATACAGGGAGGCAGTTTGGATGCAGGTTCTCTGTGTCTGAAAGGTATTCCCGTCTCATTTGTTCTGGAGTTGCTGAAATAGTTTTATTGTAAAGGAGAACAATGCTCCCTCTTTTTCAGTGGGCATGGTGGTTGCTCTTTAGACTTGGAGAAAAGGATACAAAAGGTAATTTGTGTTACTGAGCTCAAATGAGGCACAAGTTATGTAAGCAGATTTGTGCTCAAGGAAGACTACACTTAATAAGAATAAGATGTTCTCCTCTATAGAAGACAATGTATTGGCCTTAACCAAAAAAAGTTTTCAGATAGATCTTAAGATTTGTTAATATACTGCACAGCATGTTGAAATCTAACATGTATTATTTTGTTGTTTTGTGGAAACATGCATATTTTAATTATTATGATAGATTGTTTTATGTTTTATTAAGAATTAAACCATAATTGTCTGTTTTTATATTGAAAGACAAAAGAATAATGACAGTGGGTGCACTATATACACATAGCTGGACAGAGTCAAAGTGAGTAACCCTAAGAAAGTAAGGACATTAAATGAACAATAATGAAATAAAGTTTTATTTTAAAGTTACCCAATCAACTCTAATGATCCAGAGAGTCAGACTTTCTTAAAAGTTATGTTTTATTTTATCTACTATTACCATTTGTCTGGACTAGTTCCTATGTTTTATTTCATGTCCAATGTTTTTTTTATAATTACTCAAGTGTTAATTCACTAATAGTATGGATTTCCTGATTCAATGGTCATTATCATTGACTATAACTTATATTCATGTGACTAATTTTCAATGGTTTTTGCCCCTATTTAGGAGGTGCGGGTGTTAATGCATTAAAATCTATTAAGGCTCCTTTATTGACAAGACATAATGAATCACACAAAATAACTATTTGGATAATATTAATATTAAAAAATATATATGTTTGCTCAAAAAAGGAGAGCACATTTAAAGTGTCAATCGCATGAGTTTTTCATAAAGATAAAATCTATATGAAAACAAGTGCCATACGGTGTACACGATCAATACATATATTATCGAATTCTTCTTGTGTATGCACCTCTTTATAGTTTATGTGGAAAAAGATATGTCTTCAATCGGCCTTAGCCTGTTGTATCTTGCCATGTCCCATCCGATGTCACTCAGGAGGGCTGAACAGAACAAGCATTTTCTTGCACAATGTGCCAAACATGCCTATGGAATCTCATTGGGAATGTGCAAAAGTTCTATCGAAAATCTTACAGTTTTCAGGGATTTTTACTATTCAGCCCCTTCCCACTCTAACAGTGCTGCTTTAAATATTAGCTTCAATAAAATTAGTTAATAAATGAATCCAAGAAACATTAGTGGAAGAGACTATGATATTATGATCTACATCGTTAACTATATTTAACTAAATAATTAGTCATATGTCCATTAGCAATAACTTATCCTAAGCAATGGTTGCATATTGTCATCTAAATTGTGCCTCCTGACATTTTGGATCACAAGATTTTCAGCAAATTGCGATAAAAATGCATTACCATACTGTCATATAATTGTACTGAATTAAAGTGTCCCTATAACTGGCATTAAGTGCTGGTTTAGACTGCTATGCTCCATTCCTGTGGAGGACGGACTGCCCTTTAAAGCACCATAAATAAAATCTATATATTTGCCCGCATTGCTGCTCACATAATGTATAGATGGAATTGAATGTTCTTTCATTTAAAGCTAACATAGCTTTGTACCATGACAGGTACATGTTAAATCTGAACTGGTAAATAAAGACCTGCTTTATTGTCCAGTATGTGCCCTATAAAAAAAAATATAAATAATATTGATAGCTGCCATTAAATGACAACTTTACCACTTACTAAAAGAAGTCAAGAAGTAAGCATGAAAATTACATAGCAAATATGTGTTTGCTGGCAATGTTATAGCCCAAGGAACAGATGAAGATGCTATCTTCTATAAAGTGGTGGTATATTTCTTATTACATAATAGCTCACATTCAATATATGTTAAACATCAACAATACTTAATATGTTAAGCATGAAAAATAACACTACTGAGCATTCAGAACGTTCCTACTGAGAATCAACCGGTAAAACATTAACTTTAATTTGTATGGACCATTTGTACGGTCTTGAAAAAATCAGCTGCCGACTTTACTAACTTTGGAATTTGCCAAGAAGTTACGTGAGATTAAAAAACCAAAGAACTAGATATTAATATGTTAATGCTTGACAAACATATTTAGTGTTTTTTGCTGTAAAAAAATAACTAAAAGGGAAAAAAGATCAAGAATGTTATCAAGATCGCTTACTAAACTGGGAACTGTCAGGAATTGATCAGGACGTTTTAAATATTAGATCAACACAGTCAAAAGTAAAACTTGGAGGCATAGCTGAGTTTTAGAATTTCAGTAAAATTTTAAAACTGTTTCCGTTCCCAAAATTTTATTCCACAAAGCACAGCTTTGGGAACTGCTTGGCCATTGCTAGAACAACTTAATAACAATGAGCAAATTAGCTCCAAGGAGCTGCTCAGATCGTGTTCGAAAAAGTAAAACTACTGCCTCAGATGATATCAAATTTCTATAGCTTAACCATTGCTCTATTAATAATTTTTGTAATCCATAACGATGTAACAACATTAACATACATCTCTTGCTCCAGCTCTCCATTGCAGGCTATTAAAGAGTATGCCAGAGGAGGATAGTTCTTGTATGATATGTGCAAACACGTAGTACAAGTACTTGGAAGGGTAAGGAAAGTATACATTTCTTCCTTTAATATTTACAGAGGAAAATCTGTGCATTATTGAGCAACTGTGTACATAGATGTAATGTCAGGAAGCTGCCTAGCACTACAGCATGTGTCGTTTTAGGATACTTGAAGGACCCCTTTATTTTTGGGGCTGGAGAATGTATGTTAATGCATGTTAAATTTAAACCTTAGAGATAAACATGTAATGTTCCTTTCATAAATATCCAACATATAATTCCTGCAGCTTTACTTATTTGCTGTGCCTTGTCCTTATTCACATCATTACCAACTCTAACTCTCACATTTAGGATCTAATTACGTGTTAAATCGTATTTGTGAGCATTGCATAAATATAAAATCTTTGATCCCCCGCCCTGGGGACCGCTACAAGCAGCAGCACGCCTGGCGTCCCGCATCCTCCCCCTCTGGACCGGTGGGGGTCATCCCGGTCCCCACTGGGGAATCCCACAAACTCACCACAAGGGACTGATCTGCTGGAGGGGGGACCGCGGCTCGGCAATCTCTGCAGTTTCAAGCAAGCCCTGAGATCCAAACCTGGAGAAAGCACTTTGAAGCCCACTTTGATCTAATCTGCCAGGAATTCTGGAAGCGCATGGAGCATAAAGCCACCCATTCTGACCTACCTGCTATGAAGGTGAAGGAGGATGAAGCTTCAATTCACCGATCCAGTGCCCACTCAGAGTTGCGCCCATCTTGCGAACGGGCCCGCCAGCGGACT